GGGCACTGCGAGGATGCTTGAGACACAACTGGTTTATGGAGCTTCGTCTTGCAGACTTGAGAGTTATAACTCACTCATATTTCTGAGCTACAGAGCAGTCATCATCTGCCTGTTCAGGAAATGAACTTACACTTCAACATCAAGGATAAGGCAGACATGAGAGAGCTCTTGCCATCAACAAATGCTTTTGAGGGGAGCCTGGGTGGCTCAGTCATTAAGCATCTGCCTTTGGCTCAGGTCATGATCCCAGGGTCCTGGGATGGAGCCCCGCATCGGGCTCCCTGCTCAGCGGGAAGCCTGCTTCTCCCTCTCCCAAACCACCCCCACCCCCGCTTGTGTTCCCTCTCTCGCTGTGTCTCTCTCTGTCAAATGACTAAATAAAATCTTAAAAACAAAAACAAAAACAAAAACAAATGCTTTTGAAAGCCAGAGTTATGTAAGAAGCAACCTGAGTTTGCCTCCGCAAAGCATCACACAGCAGGGTCCCTCCAAGAGCAGGCCTAGGGACCAAATCCCCAGAGTACATCCTTCTCAGATCCCTGGATCCAGCTAACCTCCTTAAATACCTGAGGCCCAAACATTCAAATTCCTCAAGCTGCTGGAAGTAAATTTCAATAGCACAAATTTGGGGACTTTTTTTTAAGGCAAAGATACAGATTCTTATTTTCCACAATTAATTGAATATTACTTCTCCAACCTCTGCAGCAGAAAAAAACACTTGATCAAAATGATTTGTGTGTGATGCATCCCAGAGCCCTCAGAGGGCCGCTTAGCATTCCCATCCCTTGGCTGGAATGGTCCACTGTCCTGGGCAGCAGGGCAGTGTGCAGAGCAGAAAGGGATGGGTCTGGTTTTACAGTCTGGTATCACCAACCCCATAGAGACCAGGCTAGAGATTTTTACATACGCTACTAACACAAGCTTTGTAGCTTAAAGCAAACAGATCTGTGCCGAGATACGGAGACAGTGGTCTTAAGACAACTCCTCCAGGCTAATCATGAGATGCTTCTAGGGACATCAACGATGCAGTAAAGAGGCTCCCTGATAACTAGCGAAGCTGTATCCTCTCAGCCCCTGCCCTGTATGGGAGGGAGGGTTGGAATCTGCAACGTCTTCTATAATCCCCATCCTCAGACACCTGGCTGTCCTCTCCCTGCTCTTCCTGGACTCACCAAGGCAAGATCTGTTAGAGGGACCCCTGCTACCACCTGTCATCACAGCAGGTCCCAGCCCCTCAAGGATCAAGGTGCACAGGGACCAGGGTGGTTATCCCCTAGGGAAGGGCCACCTTCCCATTAAACCTGGGAATCTAATATGAGCTTGAACTCCCCAGCCCCTCACTCACTCCACTCACTGCATGTTCCTCAGTGAGCAGAGGTGGGTCTTGGAACACCAGGTTCCATGTGGCTGAAGGAAGTGGCCAGAGACAACCACAGTGTTAGAGTCCCGGTTCATTCATCAGCAGCTACATGTACAGAACAGCAATCCCGTATCTGAAACCGTTGGGGTCAGAGGAGTTTCAGAATTCAGATTTTTTTTTTTTTAATTTTAGAAAGCTAATATAACACCCCAGCAGAGTATGAGGAAGGATCCTATAAGCTCATTAGTATTTTTGGTACCCAAACATGAACATTCATACTGATCTTCTATCAGGTCAATCAAATTAGTTATGAAGAGAAATCCAGAGTCCTTAAGGATGGGGGATTTGGCACCATCTGGTTTACTTTCCTCCAGGAGATACTGAAATTCACTCAGAGACAAAGACCCACAGTGGGGAACAGACAAGTGAGGCAACTGTCAAATTCCCAGTAGACATTCCCTGACTCAGGAGGCCCAGGGGACAGATCGCTGAAGATGGGGTCAGGCTGACTGAAAGAGTCTCTGACACAGTAAATGCCTTCTCAGCTGCGCTTCCCTGGCCTGAGAACCCAGAGACAAATGCTTGCGCAGAGCCCTCCATATTTAGAAATTTGGTCTCCAGGACTCAGGCACCTGGCTCCAAGGATACAACATAGATCCAGTCATGGGCCCACCTCGGCAGAAGCAGACCGATGTTCTCAGAGCCCTGACTCCTGTGTGCCAGATGTTAGCTCCACAGGGTGCAGGGCAAATCATGCTTTGATCTTGATGCCTTTGAGAAACAGAAAGAACATCTTCTAGCTACTATCTTTCCTCTGCCCCTTTAAATGCCCACATGCCCAGGAGCCACCTCCCACTCTGTTCTCTTCTCACTCTGTGCCTGCTCCCTGGCTAACGGTATCCACTCCCATCACCTCACCTGCCTCTATCCCACAGCTCCCAGTTCCACCCACCCCAACTGCAAGTCACATTTGAAAAAAGATTTTGTTACTGAAGTACAGTTGCCATACAATGTTATATTAGCTTCAAAAGCACAACGTAGTCATTCAACAATTCTGTACATTATGCTATGCTCACCACAGTAAGTATAGTTACCATCTGTCACCATATGACATTATTATAATATATATTAACTATATTCCCTATGCTGTACTTTTCTTTCCTCTCTGTGACTTACTTATTTCATAACTGAAAGTTTGTACCTCTTCATCCCCATCACCTGTTTTGCCCATCCCCCCACACCCTGTGGCAACCACCAGTTTGTTCTATGCATTTACAAGTCTGCTTCTGGTTTTGTTTATTTTGTCTTTTCAGATTCTACATATAAGTGAAATTATATTGCCCTTCTTTGTCTGATTTATTTCACTTCGCATGATACCCTCTAGGTCAAGCCATGTCACAAATAGCAAGACGACTTTTTTATGGCCGAGTAATATTCCATTATGTATATGTACATCTTTTTATCCACTCATCTACTGATGGACACTTAGGTTGCTTCCATATCTTGGCGATTGTAAATAATGCTGCAATGAATATAAGGGTGCACCTATCTTTTCCAACTAGTGTTTTCATTTTCTTTGGGTAACTTTCCAGTAGTGGAATTTCTGGATCATATGGTATGTCTATTTTAATTTTTTGATGAAACTCCATACTGTTTTTCATGGTCTAACTCATATTTTTAACTGCCTCTTGGGCATCTCCAGGTTGCCTCATGTCCTCTCCTCCCGAGCCATAACCTACTAATGTCTGTGTACTTCCCCACATCTCCCTACCTTGCACTTGGGTCAGTCACATGACTCACTCTGGCCAGTGGAACATGAGCAGAAATGCTGTGTGGTACTGCTGGCAGGGGTATTTAGTACTTGTGCACTACCCCTGTGTTCTCGTTCCCTCCATGAGGCCAGCACAAGACAGCAGAGAATCAAAATAGAAATATTCTAGGTCCTAGAGTCACTGCCTAGAGAAAGCCACTGGTCTTGCACTGAACTGTGATAAAAACAAACTTCTATGGGGAAAGATCACTGAGAGTTTAGAATGATCTGACACAGAAGCTAGTGCTCATTACCCCCATATACCCACCTTCTCCACCTGGCAAGTTCCTACTGAATGCCCAAAACTCCAATTCCAATGCCACCTCTTCTGTGAGATCCAACTTTCGTGGGAAGATAAGCCACTCTGTCCTGTGACCTCTAGCAATTCACTCACGCATCCAGCACAATATTACCTCAGTCTGTGGCACATTTCTGTTTGCACGTTCAGCTCCTACATGTGTGGGTGCTTCTCTTTTTAATCGTCTATTCTCAGTGCCTTGGAAGTAGCGAACACCTGATGTTTGATTTCTGGAAGCAAAGCTCGGAGCCTTCTCGCTCATCTGACCAGCAAACCCCGAGTCAGCATTTTCTCCCCAAGTCCCAGTGTTCTTGGCATCATGCTACATACCATGGTTGAAGGCAAGAAAAGTAGGACACTATTGCCCACAATGAGGGGTGCTTTTTATCTTTAGATCCTCTGCACCCCATTTGCTTCCATCTTTATTAAAGGACAGCTTCCACTTAAAAAGCACATTGTCTTTTCAGGAACCATTGGCTAAGACATTTCTCAGAAAGCAAGATCAAAGAGGACTTTGTAATGACGAGAGGAAAGCGGAGCAGGGCTCTCTCGTGACCCCTGTGAGTCTGGCTCCCCCGAGCTGGCACACTTTAGACTTGTGACCTGGCATTCTGGGATTGCACAGCTGTACTGGGGTTATTTCTGGTATGAAAAAAGCTGCAGCGAAAGCATCGCCGGCCCCTCAGGGACCCAGACGTAGAGATGATAGCCTGGCAGTGCAGTCGCATCATTGCCGCTTGGCCAAACTTCCCAAACCAAAGGCACAAAACCACGCTGCTGGTCAGGGAAACAGAACAGGGGACCTTTGCTCTTCACATCCAGGGAACTGGCAACGGGCACTGTTAGCAGCTCCCACTCTCCCCATTCTTTTAAGGCTGTGACAGAACTCTTAGTTCCAGCCCGAGGAACTGCGCCCATAAATAAATGACGCTTGATTGTTAATGCAACGTTTTCACAGTAGTTCCCACAGACTAGCATTTTACCTGCTGTGGGTGTGGCTTTGCAGTAGACATGGGGACACGCCACTTACTGCACAGTAAACACGGGGTCGACCAGTACTGCTGGCATCCCAGCACTCAGACAAAAACATCCACAACAACAAAGAGCCTGGCAAACCCAGGCGCCACACCCACACTGCAAGGGAACACAGCGGGGCTTCTAGCACCTTCCCTGGTGGGATGTTGAGAGTGGAAATGAAACAGACTCTGCAGTATACTGAAGGCTGGGATAATGAGGAAGGAAGATTAGGAAACATTTTAAAAGCTGGAGCACTACCTTAGCAGAAGGCAAAGGTAGAGTTTGGGAGAGTTGGGATAGTACGTTGTAAGGTTCCGTGCTGCATGTGATGGATCAGAGGTACGGCAAAGGAGGGGACCCTGAAAGTCACAGCTCAATGCAGGGAACTGTTTCTGGGCGGCACTTCAAGGGTCACATACCATGAACAATGAACGCCTCCCCCTAAATCCATTCAAGGTACCAAGAGCATACGTGGAAAAGAAGTTGACTGAAAATGGCACTGCTGGGCAACTTACCTTGTATGAAGATCCTGTTCCAGTAGATCTTCCCCACTTGACTGCCCCCGAGAAACACTAGGTTGGACAGGATCAGCATGGAGGTGGAACAGGATGCCAGGGCGGCGTGGAATCGGCGGCGGGCTCGCGGGGAGAGGAACTGGACCTGCGGGGAACACGGGCGATGTGTCATCCTGGTGGTGAAGAAACAGCGCTGAGGTGCCGCCCGGCCCCTGTCAGACACCTGCCCGGGACACCCACCCTGGAGCCTGAGCGAGGGCGGGACTGGGGCTGCTCCCAAAACCTTTATTCCCGCTGCACGTGCACTCTGGTCTAAGGAAAGAAGCAACTCGCCCCCAACTTGTTGCTTCCTCCTGCCAAACGGGAGTGGGCTCCCCCTGACGTGTGACACGAGCACTGACGCTAGTTCAGATTTGGCTGGAATGCCCCCACATGTTCTCTGCAAACCTACAGGTACGAGAACTCTCCCTGATGACCAGCACAGCTCCATGTCATGAGGTCAAGCTCAGGGTGATCTTCTGGGCCAGTTAACGTGACTCTGGGAAGCCACCCCGTCAGTCTGACCCACTATTAGAAGGAGCCCCATTCAGAGGGTGCAGGAGAATCAGCACAAGCCGCCCTCCTTCCTGGAATCAGAGTTCAGGGGACACACCCCACTGGAAGTGAGCCTGTAGCAGGGTCACACGATGGTCGCCTGCCACAGCACCTGAATACGCAGGAAATGGAGAGGTGGTTTCCAGCATTGATGGTAAAGAATTCTGCCCATCCATCTGAGGTCTTCACTGCACTTTTTCCTCCCCTTTTAATGTCTTCTTGGGGATTGCATAAAACAAGCAAAGTCTTTATTTCTTGGCACTGACCATTCTGCTGGCCTTACCGAGTGAGATCACAGCACTGCGCCCGGAGTGTATGAGCGCCATCAGTACACCTGCAGGCACTGTCCTTCGGGTCTGCACATGCAGCATGAGAACCAGGTACAGTGCAACCACCAGGCCAAAGGGCCCCAGGGTTTCTGACAAATACCTCAGGCTAATCCAAAGACAGGGAAAAAAGACAGAGCAAAGGGTCTAGAGATCATTCCTGAATATCCTTCTGAAACCTACACATCTCTGGGGTCACTTGCATCCTGATTTCAGTCGTGCTCCAATTATAAACAGGAATCTGGGAACGCCTGGGTGGCTCAATCAGTTAAGCACCCAACTCTTGATTTCGGCTCAGGTCATGATCTCAGGGTTGCGAGATCCAGCCCTGCATCAGGCTCCACATTCAGTTGGGAGTCTGCTTGGATTTTCTGTCTCTCTCTGCCCTTCCCATCCCAGCTCTCTCTCTCTCTCAAATAAATAAATAAATAAATCTTAAAAAAAAATAGAAATGTGAATTACCCAAATTCCTAATGGGCAAAAAAGGATTCAGCTACAGAGTGTCTCCAGCAGGGGGCTTACTTAGTTCTGAGTACCCTGCTATGGATCATCTGGGGCTACTGTATAAGCCTTGGTCAGTGTCCTCTGGAAACCTAGAGAAATGAATTTCTGACCCCCTCTCCTTTTTCTCTCCTGCCAGTCCCAGCTTCTATTCTATATGCTCAGATACCACTGCTACCATATACCTCCCCATCCGTGGCCTTCTCCTCCAGCATCACCTTGGAGCATGGTTTTACTGCCACCATATGTGAAAGTGTGGCCTTCTCATGGATAAGCTGTGTAGTAGGCACTGCCTGAGTCATCTGCTTGGACATGATTGTTCTAGAAAGCTCTCAGATGATGCTGACATGTCCCTGGTTAGAGGCTACCAGACAAGATGACCTCTAGTCTCTCCCTTGTTCTAAGAGGTCACAAGCACATACAGGGGATACTATCAAGCAAGACCATATAAGAGATAACACACAGTATAAAAACTGGTAATGAAAGAGAAATGGTGACGAAGCAGGCTTGTAACTCAGTACTCTTCACCTCTGAGAATAAGGAGACATTAATCTACTGGTTTCCACTTTTTAGAGCAGGAGAAGATATTTTCTGGGTATTACTGACTCAATTAGCAGTAACTTGGGAAACAGGGTGAGAGGAAGCAGGGAGACGGGGAAAAAATCCAGAATAATAAATCATAAAATATAAATTGCTGTAATTGGCATAAATGTGTCCAAATAATTCTCTCTAGGTATAGGACCACTGATAACACGTTTGATTTCTAAGGGACCCGGTGAATCAGATGCTTTATCACTTCTGTTCTAACCTCATCCGTGCCCTCCAACCTTATATCCTGTTAGGGGAATTCAAAGGCCCCATGCAATCTTTTCCATATTAATGTCAGTGACAGAGAATGCACATAGCTTGGTGAAGCTCAGAGTGGCTTGCTTTCTACAGGAAATGATTACAATTATTAAATAATCGACTGAGAGATACCGAGAGAGGAAAACATTCTTTGCATTGGACTTCTAAGCAGGGCTGTGGTGCCAGGTGACCTGGTTGGGGGCAAGGGCCAGGCTAGTTGGAGGCAGAGCTGAGGGGCAAGGGGCAGAGTTAAGGGAGGAGACGAAGGGGAGGGAGTGCTTGAGACACAGGGCTCCTCTTTCCAGCACCTGAGGCCCTAGTTTCAATGGGTCTTCCTTTGCTTCTGTGATTACTTGGCTACATGATTCAATAAATTCCTATTTCTGCTTAGGAAAAGAAAAGTCAAAATCATAGCAAATATGAAGGAGCCTCTGCTCTCAGGACAAGGGAGGACATCTAAGATCAGAAATGAAGGGCTACAATTCAATTTTTATAAAGAGTTAATTTTGTAAAAACTAAGCGAGAACATTAAAGGTGTAGGCTGTTGGAATCAATGAACTAGAAAGATATAAAGGAGAAATCAAGATGCTCACAGGCAGTTCTTGATTACCCCCCAGGAGGAGCAGGTGGGGGACAAAGTAGGTGATGATAAAGATAATCCAAAAACCTGATTTAACTAATAGCCCCATTGTCTGAACTGACAAAATTAGCCTTGCCAACAAGCAGCAAACTTGACTGAGCATTACTTCTCTTCACTGTGTATCAGTGGGAGAGCAGAATGATAAGGCAACCAGGAGCAAAAAGGGGGCCTGTGTGGATAACCCATGATTAATATTAACAGCAAAGGAGATACGAATCTCAGCTGTAATTCATCTCTCCTCTTCGGATTCCCTGGATGCACTATAGATGGTGACAGTTTTGACACTGAGGTTCTCTCTCTACCTTGGAAACCATCTGGCCTCAGCCACTGGTTTATACTCTAGATGTAGATTCCATACTTAGGGGTCCTAGGAGGGAAAAAGTCACATGGGCAAGGGGAGATCCATCAATAAATACAACTTTCTGAATGTCTAGGGACATAGGGCCAAGGTTCCCACTTTAAACTCTTGATTTCTTTTATACACTCTCCTCTGACATCCTATAGCAATTGTTGTCATCACTCTTGTGGTCCTTCACATCTAGGATACAGGCTGTCTGTCCATGTGCAGGGACCATGCCTCATATGTTAGTCATGGCTGAGGTGCTTAAGAACCCCCTTGGTAGAAAAACTTATGTGAGGGACTATGAACCAAATGGGGAAATAAGTCAGTGTACAACGAAGAGTCATCAGGTATAAAAATAAGAATTGCCAATTGATCAGATAAGGCAGTGATCGGTAAACAGAATTTGATTTTAACACAAATGTAACAGAATAAAAAAGAACACTGGTCTGGTCATGGTCCCTTCCCAGAAGATAGATGAAGTGATGGCAATCCAATATCCTGGCAGCAAGAATCTGGGAAGGGCACGGGCCCCAGGGGATGTTTAGAACTTGCTGAGCACTTCAGTTGTCTCAAGGACATCAAAATTATGGCATTTGATAGGCAGGGTCCAGGGATAGCAAACATACTGCAATGTATGAGGTGGAACCGTCCTGCCCAGAATGTCAATAGTGTCTCTTGCGCATGGGTGAAACGTTTTCTTCTATATTCATTAGAAAGCCAACTTCCCTCCTGGTCTATAGGTGCACAGCACCTCCCTTCCTCCCTCATTAGGGGCAATGCCAAAAATGTGCCCCCTTTCCCCCCTGGGGCCCAGAGAAAGGCATCCTAGGGCAGGGAAAGTGCGCTTTACAGTGCCCCCCTGTGGCCGCCCCCCCCCCCAGCCCACCCACTACCCCCGGAGCATCAAGCTTGAGAGAGGAGCCTCCGTGCTTCCGACCACAGCCGGGCATGGTGCAGCGCCAGTTCCAAGGCTCCTCCCCTCCCACCGCTCAGACAGACCCTGAGGAGGGAGGAAGAATGGGACGCGGAGCAGGTCAGAAAGTACCGCTTCCTATGGCGGGTGTGGCTAGTTCTCCCTCAGGGGCCCTGACTTCAGTGAGCGGTGGGGGGAGGCGGTGGTTCTCTCCATGTTAATGTCCATATGACCCACTCCTCAGGCCCAAGAGAAGGTACTAGATTTTGGGCCTGGATACAGCAAGCCCCTTAGAACACTGGGAAGGTCAGGACCAGGGTAGACCTCTAAGTCCTGTTTGAGTTCGGGCTCTCTGACAGAAAAAAGAAGAGGTGGGGTGTGGAAATATTGCAGAAGGACAGCCTAGCAGTGCTTTAAACTTCTCTCTGAGACACTGGCTTCCAAAGGCGAGGAACTAACCCAAACAAAGTAAACCTCGGGGCAGAACTAAATTGTCAAACTAGTTTGCATTTCCTGCTGTGAGGTGGCAGCTCCTGTGTTTATTCTTATCTCTATGGAAACTCCTCTCTCTTTTCCAGTCAGCATCCTGTCCCTGGAAATCACAGGACTTCGGCTGGGGCGAGCCAGCTGGGTGCTGGGGTGGCGTGGTCCACGGAATCTGGGTCAGAAGTTACTCTCAGAATGTCTGCGAGGGTGGGAAGCAGATGGCGCAGTGGGGCTGCAGTGGCTGTGTGAGGTAGGGCCCACACTCGTCCACAGGGCGACTGCATGTGGGGCCGAGCTGGGAGGAGGGACAGGCTGAGCATCTGGGGGAGCAGATGGGCCGGAGGAATGGCTGCTGGAGACTGACAAAGGCTTGGCAAGTGGGACCTGATACTGTTTATTTTTAAGTGGGGAGAAGCTAAAAAAAGAAATTGGGTGGGTTTGAGCAGCTGGACACAGTTCTTCCATATAATCACTGAAGTCTTTCATTTTCTAATAA